TCCTGTCCTGCCTTGAGCAGGGGGTTGGACTGGATGACCTTGTAGGTCCCTTTTGAACTTCACTTTTCTATGATTCTAAGTATTCCTGTTTGACCACATATATAAATCGGACTTCTTCCTTCCTTTCTTTCAGCCAGGCAGTGCGTGGTCCCTGGGTGGTTCCTCACATGGTTCTTCTGTCCGTTCCCGCTCCCACTCTCACCCACGGTACAGAACTAAGGCTGTCAAATCGGAGGTGGATGAAAGTCTCTTCGGGCTTGCCAAGGTGAGGAAAAAGGAAAGCTGTGGTTGATTTTAAAGTAGGATCCCCTTATCCGTGAGGTCAGTATCTGCCGATTCGCCTTTATCCACAGTCTGAAAATATTAAAAGAAAAATCCTAGAAATATACAGTGGTGCCCCGCTAGAGGATTACCTCGCAAAACGGTTTATTTGCTAGACGATGAGTTTTTGCAATTGCTATAGCACTTCACAAAATGGTGTTTCATATGGGCGATTTCCGCTGGACAATGTTTCGGTCCGTGCTTCGCAAGACGGGGTTTTTTTCAGTACCGTTTTTCGCAAGATGACGATTTTGACAGCTAGGTCCGCGACTCACAAAACGGGTGTTTTCGGGACCGTTTTTCACAAGACAGCGATTTTGACAGCTGATCCGTGCTTCGCAAAACGGTTTTCGTATGGGCGATTTTCGCAAAACGATGACGATTTTTCCCCATTGGAACGCATTAAATGGATTTCAGTGCATTCCAATGGGGAACCGCATTTCTCAAGATGATGCTTGCTAGGTCCGCGACTCACAAAACGGGTGTTTTCGGGACCGTTTTTCACAAGACAGCGATTTTGACAGCTGATCCGTGCTTCGCAAAACGGTTTTCGTATGGGCGATTTTCGCAAAACGATGACGATTTTTCCCCATTGGAACGCATTAAATGGATTTCAGTGCATTCCAATGGGGAACCACATTTCTCAAGACGATGCTTGCGCAAAACAGCAATTTTCGCGAAACGAATTAACATTGTCTTGCGGGGCGCCACTGTACAGTGGTGCCCCGCGTAACGGGCGCCCCGTTTAACAAAGAACCCTTATAGCGATGGCTTTTTTGCAATCGCAAAAGTGATTGCATTGCGATGTTTCAAATGGTAAAACATCGCTTTGCGACGATCGGTAAGCTGTTTCGCTTACCAATTTTCGCATAGCGATGTTTTTTCTAACAGCTGATCAGTGGTTGCAAAATGGCCACCGCGTAAAAAAATGGCCACCCACCATGTTTTTGCGCCCTTTCCTCGCTTACCGGGCAGCGAAAATGGCGGCCGTATGGAGGATGTTCACATAACGGTGCGTTTTTTGCCCATAGGAACGCATTAAACGTATTTTAATGCATTCCTATGGGCTTTTTTGTTCCGCATAGCGACGAATCCGTATAGCGACGATTTTTCCGGAACGGATTATCGTCGCTATGCGGGGCACCACTGTATTTCTAAAAATAAAGTCACCAGAATTGGCTGCTAGAGGGCGCAAGAGACCGTGCAATGTAGGTGTTAAAACAGCATTTGCTATAAGCTGCATTTTTCAGCATCTGCAGGTAGGCTTGGAACTGATCTCCCACGGATACGGGAGGTCCTACTGTCATTTTACAGAAATGGCTTTCAAGGACTACGGGGGGGCCGTGTTCTGTGTGCAGCCGCAAGCTTCTCCATTCCACCTTCATTGACCAGCAGCGACATTCTTGAACTAAATAAAGCACAGGAGAAGAGTTCCTAGCCTGATTTAACCACTCGGTGTGCCTTTCCAAAGGGCCATCCAGCCACCCACAGCTACCTCCAAAAAAAAAACAAAAAACAAAGCCACACTTCTCGATGCCTCTTGATGCACCACAACAATAAAGTTTAGACCAGATCCTACCCGTGCAGTTATTAACTCTCCAGCTGGGGATTGTGGCAATGGGTGGGTACTCCCAGTGGAAGAAGCTGAGGAAGAGTCGTAAGAGAAGTGATATTGTAAATTCTCCTACGCATTTCTGATTTTTTCCCCCTACCCTTTTTTTTTTGCAGAATGTCCGACTGTCCTGTTCTGGCAGTCCCCTTGTGGTCCTTCAAGATATCGCAACGGCAGGGAAATCCCTGGGTTGGGGCCGCAAGCCGGAGAAAATCCGCATCATCACGAGAGACCTCGTCCGGGACCTCGTGTAAGCCCTCGGCCGTTCTGCTATCCTTCAGGGCATTCTGTAGGTCCTTCTCATACGCACAGACATCCACACACACCCTTCTGGGTGCGGCTTCACTCCCCAGGAAGTAGAGATGGGCACACAACCCACGCCACTGCCTCGGAGTGGGTGCCCGCCTAAGGGGGCAGCTCTGGGAAGCGACACTGCTGCCTCTGATTGGGCACCTGAAGCTCTCAAGTGGCACGAATCCCCGAACTGCAGTTTGTACCCATCTCTGCCAGGAAGCGCAGGTCCGGCTTAAGACCATTAGAGGCCCTGAAAAGATTATGGTGCCCCCCTATGAATATAACATGTGACAGGTCCCACAGCTTTGGGGGGAAAAACACATAATTCGCATTAAAAGGTAAAGGTTCCCCTTGACATTTAGTCCAGTTGCGTCCGACTCTAGGGCGCGGTGCTCATCCCCGTTTCCAAGCCGTAGAGCCAGCGTTTCTCCGAATACTGCCTCCCTGGTTATGTGGCCAGCGCGACTAGACACAGAATGCCGTGACCTTCCCACCAAGGTGGTACCTATTTATCTACTCGCATTTACATGCTTTCGAACCGCTAGGTTGGCAGGAGCTGGGACAAGTGACAGGAGCTCCCTCCGTTGTGTGGATTCGATCTTACGACGGTTGGTCTTCCGACCTTGCAGCACGGAGGCTTCTGAGGTTTAACCCGCAGCACCACCCCATCCCTAATTCACATTACATGCATGCAAATACAGTAATTTAGTTGTATAACCTGTGGCTAAAAAGAACCATGTATCGTATGCAAAAATCATACGTACAATCAAATGATCGGCTTCCAGCCAAATCTTGCCCTTTCATTCTTTGATTAATGTAGAGAGATTTTGTCAGAATCTGTAAAGGGAAAAGCTCAAAGACCTTAAAACTCCTTGTGGGGTTCTTTTAACATCGGCTGTCATTTCTTTGGCTTGCACCTAGAATGCAGAGACCACGGGTCTAAAAGAACAGCATCTCTTTTTCTCCTTATCCCCACCCAACATCCCTTAATACAGAAATAATAATTTTTTTAAAAAAACCAAGCGATGATGATTGATCGATTATTTTACTCAAAACATGAGTCTTTATACTTTTTAGTTTTTTCTGGTTCATACTCAATTGCTTTAGGTAGGGAGGCGGTTTTCTTTGGGCTTCTGAGGTAGGTAGGGAGGGAGAGCCGAGGGTGAAGGATGGGTGGATGTGGTTTGTTAAGGCGGGTGCCCCATCTGCGCCCTGGTCCATGGCAAATCTGGCACTGAAAAAAAAACCCTCTTATTTTGCTTCATGGTTAATCTAGGCTGAGGAAGAGGAAGGCTTAGAGGTGGTTAGGAACCTTCTGACGGCTGAGGCTCACCATAATTATTTGTCTCTTATGCAGTTCTTTTTAAAAAAACTAATTAATAGTTTGGAGGCAAATTGGAACCCTTGTGAGATCTTGCATCCTGTCCCACATTTCTGCAGAATTCCAGCCTAGCCCTGCTCTAATTGCCGTTGCAAGTTGGAAGGCACGAAATGTTGAGCTGCTCTTTTTCTCTCTTCCGTCTTCCTCAGAGTACCCGCCGTGGATCCGTCAGGAGAGTCCCTCATCATCAGCCCTGAGGAATTTGAGCGCATCAAGAACGCAGCCCGTATCCTGACCAAGGAAGAACGCGAAGCGCAACAAGTGGCCCTTAAGGCAGAGAGAGAAGCCATCATAGTATGCATGCTCCCTTCTTTGCAGAGCAGAGATTCTTTCTCATTTATTTCTGCAGTCGTTGTCGTTCTGTGCCTCCTGTCTCCTAGGGAGCTCAAGAAAGTTGTCCATTGGTTTTCCCTCCCTCCCCCCCCGCCCCCGTTTTACCTTCACAGTAACCTGGTGAAGTAAGCTGGTTCGATCTGGAAAGAATGCTTGGTCCCAATTGACTTCATGACTAAATGGAGATTGAAGTGGAATCTAGATCTCCCCGCTCTTACACCAGATAAATTACACCTGACTCTTACGTAGAGTGGAGGGACGTGGTGGCGCTGCAGGGTAAACCGCAGAAGCCTCTTGGCTGCAAAGTCAGGAGACCAGCCATCGTAAGATCGAATCCATGTGACGGAGCGAGCTCCCATCGATTTGTCCACCTTTACCTTACGTAGAGTAGCCCAGTGGCTCTTTAAAGCATTTGAGCCAGTCCTCACCTGAGACCATCAGCCAGTAAGTCCGCATAAGTAAACAAGTGGCAGTATTCTCCACTGGTTGGGAGTGCAGAAGTATCCATGTGGAGCATGTTACTGTAGTCCCGTCTGTATCCTGACAGTAGGAGCATGGTCTCTGAGGGGGATCAGTTCCAGGTCCTCCTGTGGATGCTGGAAATAGTGGATGAATGAAGCACTTCAGGCTTTTCTGGTGTCCGTGCATGGTGGAGAGAGGGAACCTCGGCCCAGTCTTGCCAAAGAACTAGGTTTCCTGTTGATGATCTATGTCTGTGAGAAATTATCCAGGTCTGGATCATTATCGTTTAGTCGTGTCTGATTCTTTGTGACCCCCAAGGACCAGAGCACGCCAGACCCTCTTATCTTCCACCGCCTCCCGGAGTTGTGTCAAATTCATGTTGGTTGCTTTGATGACACCATCCAACCATCTCATCCTCTGCCATCCCCTTCTCCTCTTGCTGTCACACTTTCCGAACATCAGGGTCTTTTCCAGGGAGTCTTCTCTTCTCATGAGATGGCCAAAATATTGGAGCCTCAGCTTCAGGATCTGCCCTTCCAGTGAGCACTCAGGGTTGATTTCCTTTAGAATTGATAGATTGGTTCTCCTTGCAGTCCAGGGGACTCTCAAGGGGCTCCTCCAGCACCACAATTCAAAAGCATCCATTCTTTGGCAGTCAGCTTTCTTTATGGTCCAGCTCTCGCTTCCATACATCACTACAGGAAAAACCATAGTTTTGACTATAGGTCTAGACGGGCGGGGTATAACTCTAATAAAATTAATAGAAATAAAATTAAAATGGAAGTATTTATTTCAATAGTAATGTATAAATCTTCAGAGCAAATAAATAAAACCATGGCTTTTTCATCCTGCTGTATCACTGCGGGAGGTGATATAGCATAGGGGTCTCCAACCTTGGGGCCTCCAGATGTTCTTGGACTTCAAGGCCCGGAAATCCTGGCTAGCAGAGGTGGTGGTGAAGGCTTCTGGGAGTTGTAGTCCAAGAACATCTGGAGGCCCAAGGTTGGGGACCACTGATATAGCAGGATCGAAGCGACCAATGTGAATCTGACCCAACTTCGGAAGCCGTGGAAAGACAGGAGGGCCTGGCGTGGTCTGGTCCATGGGGTCATGAAGAGTTGGACACACAACTTAACAACTAAACAACTATCACTCAAAGTGTACTACTAAGGAACTCGTGACCGTATGAACACATGGCACCTCCCTCTTATCTTCCCATGCCAGGTTGCTGTGAACGAGCGAAAGAAATCCATGAAGCTCAAGGAGATTTTGCGGAAGAAGAACGAGAAGTTGAACGATCTAGAAGAGGAGGCCAAGGAACGGGCGCAGTACCTGCTGGAGAGAGCTGCCGACCTGCGCCTGGAGCAGGAAGACGAGATCAAAACACTCAACAAGGTAGGAAAAGGATCGAGGGAGTGCAACCTGTGAGTACTTGGGGTGTAACCTATTTGACCTACCTGGTATACGGCATGGAAGGGCTGTAGGCAAGGACGTTCTGTCTTCCTCCCTCACCAGTTTGCTTTGTTTCCAGACCAGCTATGGAGGAAAGAGTGGCACAAGGGAGAAGCAAACTGGCTGAGGAGCGTGCAAATCACCCTCTCTCCTCTGCCCGTCCATCTTGAGAGAGGGCTGGTTTTTCCCTAGCCTGCTAAGAGGTTGCAGTTGTTTTTTTTTCCCCCTGTCTCCTTTCATTCTCTTTGCAGAAATCAGGAGCCATTCTACCTAATAAACAAGTTCTGTTACCTGGAAACGTCGAGGGCATATTTAGAAGGGAACGGTTTCCTCTTTACTCCAGGGATACATTTCAGTTCTGGGGCACAAACCTTGGGAGGCTTTAAAAAAAAAGGTGGAGAACTTATTGTCCCTCGACTAGCACCTTCTGCCATCCAAACGCCATTTCCGCTGACTGATCAAAAACCTTTGGTGATCTCATCTAGGGAAGATCTCCTGTGGAGAGCATGTAGTGCTGGCACTTTTGATGTGGTTAGGCACTTCCAGACCTAATGAGGCATTTGGACCCACCCAGTGGAACTGCCCGTGCTAGATCTCAGACCGGCTGGGACTGAGCTGACGAGAGGTGGGGACAGACCTCTTAAAGTGTCTTGTCCACACCTGTTCATCTGCAACCGTTGACTCTAAACCCAAAAGGCCACATTAGGTGGTACTCTGAACACCTCCCCGGACACTGCCATATTTTCAGGGGATGTTTTATGTTACCGTCATGTCTTCTTCTGGTGGCTGCACAAGGGTGGAGAGCAGAGGTCTCACTTCACTGGGGCTTATTTTTGGGGTAGGGCTTATATGACGAGCATCCCGAAAAAACCATCCTAGGGCTTATTTTCAGGTTAGGTCTTATTTTCAGAGAAACAGGGTATATCCACATGGGATCAATTCCAAGTGCCCCCCACGCCAAAAACATAGAAGTATTGAATGCTATACATTGCATTGTCTGTGGCTTCCTCTAGTTCTGGTAAAAACACCCCAGAAATTCATATAGATGGATATTTCTTTTTTTATTTATTTATTTAGTATTTTCAGGCAGTGAACAAGTGAATCAGTGGGCATTGATCCCATGGATCTGTATATTTAAATCAGAGGCGAAGAAATGTCTGGGCTGCAAATTTAAGCAACCGTAGCCATCCTAACTAGTGGTGAGGAATGAATATTCACCCAGTGATCATTTCCCCCCCTGCTCATATTTCCCCCCCCCCCAGGTCATCCTGGAAGCCAAGTGCCATGCCATCCGGGATGCCCAGATCCTGGAGAAAAAACAGATTGAGAAGGAGCTGGGGGAGGAGGAGAAGAGGCTGGCCCACATGATGGAAGTAGAGAGACAGAAAGCAAACGAGATGCAAGCGGAACTAGAACGGAAGAGGAAAGAGGAGTTGTTCAGGTAAGGCTGAGCCGGCGTTGACAAAAATTGCAGGAATTGCTACATGATCGGGATTTACATATTTTTTTTGCATTGACCACACCCTTTGTGGTGCAGTCATTAAGCTGCCGCATTGCAGCCAAAACTGTGCTCACGGCTTGGGGTTCAATCCCAGGTATCTGGGGCTCAAGGTTCACTCAGCTTTCCATCCTTCCGAGGTCAGCAAATTGAGCATCCAGCTTGCTGGCGGAGGGCCTAAGTGTTGCCTGCATAACTAAATTATAAACCACACTCCGCTTTTTCTTTCTTTCTTTGCTTTATGACGGTTAAAAAGCAAATGGAAATCAGCCGTGAATCTGTAGTTTTCCCCCTTCTGTTCTTTTTTTCTGCAGGAGGCGTGAACCAATGCAGAAAAGTGTGTGATGTGTCGGTTGTGATGATGTGGCAAGGCAAGGGAGGGAGGCAAAGAGCCAGCCTTAGAGTGCTGAACCTTTGCAAATAATGCCATTTATTTTCACTTTTTTAATCAGCTTGGTGCCAGTGCGCCTAGTTTTTTAATCAGCTTGGTGCCAAGGGCACCTAGTAGACATCCATCCATCAATCAATGAATCAATCGGATAATAATAATTAGAAAAGAGAATGAGAGGAGGAAACGAGAGGAGGAAGTTGGCTAAATGGCCTTATTAAGGCAGTTCTGTAACTGTGCCCCTACAAGACTACAAGAGCCACACATTAACAAGCTGCAAAGAAGGCTGTTCAGCTCATTTCATCCTCCTTTTGTGGTTCAGTTAATGCAGACAGACCAGGAAAGCTCATATTCCCCTGTGCAACTTCACAGCGAGTGACTTTGCATTTCCGTTACTGCGTCCTTGCATCCTAAATCAAGACATCCAGCTCCTACAAGGGTATAGGTAAAGGTTCCCCTTGACATTGAGTCCAGTCGTGTCTGACTCTAGGGTGCGGTGTTCATCCCCGTTTCCAAGCCCTAGAGTCAGCGTTTGTCCAAAGACTGTTTCCGTGGTCACGTGGCCAGCGTGACTAGACCCAGAACTCCGTGACCTTCCCATCGAGGTGGTACCTATTTATCCACTCGCATTTTTTACATGCTTTTGAACGGCTCCTCTGGTCACAACAACACGTATTGGGGGAAAAACTGTCTAGGGCCTCTAAGTGTGACAAAATAAGACCTTTAAGAAAATCTAAATCAAACCAAAAATAAGTAGGGCCTCCAGATGTTGAAACCCTGTCGGAATTGAGCTAAGAACAAGGATGCTCTCGGTTGAATCTTGACCTCATTCGGTCTCTTAAGCCAGTCACTCCTGCTACCAGCCTAAGGGTCTGCATCCGCAGTATGAATGATAGTGATTCTGGCTAGAGATGGGCACCGACTGCCAGTTCGGGCTGGTTCGTTTCTTGGCCAACTGCTGAATCGGTGGATCGTGCCCGTCTCTAATTCGGACTTCGCAGGGCTGTTGCAAGTATTAGAACTAGATAGCGCGCACAACGTGGAGCCCTCCGAACACTGAAAGGCTCTATACAAACGTTAAATAATATTACTTTTATTATTCTCTGTCACCCCACAACAGTCTGGTTGGAGTTGTTCTGTGTGTTTTTTTTAATTATTAAAGAAGAACTTTTTTAAAACTTCTGTTGATTGTGATAGCTACAAGGGAGAGTCCTGTATTCAAGAGCAGGCTTTCTCTTGTGGAAAGGGGACGCACAGGGAAGGAGGGACGTAACCTTCCTTTCTGCTTGGAAGCTTTCAGGTGGCGATAGAACATGGGTCTAAAAGAAACTTTTTTCGTCTTCTTTAACAAAGTAGTAGTTCCAGTCTTACGGTTCCTGGTGTTTCCCCCCTACCCCCTGAATCCTATGGAGCAGCAGGGAAAATGCCAAATTGATAAAAATTGATGTAAGCTCTTTGATCTCGAGTGTTAACATGATGGAATTTCAAGCTTGGTTAATTTCCAACCTATGTCTGTCCCGGGGCATGGTAAACTTGAGTTTTCTTCATATCCACAAGGGACTAGAAACTGGTTTAAATTCTGTCCTGTTCCACGGTCTGACAGAATTCTTATACAGTGGTGCCTCGCTTAACGATGATAATCCGTTCCAGGAAAATCGCTGTTAAGCGAAAACGTCATAAAGCGAAATTTAAAAAAGCATTGAAACGCATTGAAAACCAAAGCAGGGAACCGATCATCGCTAAGCGAAATTCCCCCATTTAGACCATCGTTTTGCAATCGCAATTGCGATTGCAAAACATTGTTGTAAAGCAGATTCATCGTAATGCGGGGCAATCGTTAAGCAGGGCACGACTGAGTTTTTTGAGTTTCTAGTCCTCTCTCTCAATACGTGTTCAGAGTCCACTGAGGAGGGGCATAGTTTATAGGGCCGTCTGTGGCCCACAAGGGGATTAAATCCAGAATTGGAGTGTATCCCCCACGGGCTTCAATCGGAGTCAACTGGTGGTGGATTCATTATGAAGGTTCCTTGCCCGTTCGTTAAAAGGATCTCAGTTGGGTTACAGCTAGTTCAACGGGTGCAGACAGACCCACGGTTTTGCTGCAAGGAGACCCTTTCTGCTCCCTGATTTTGCCAGGGGGAGGCGTCACATCGTGGAGCAGATAGAGAAGAACGAGGAATCGCGGGCCATGAAGGCTGAGCAACGAGACCAGGAGGCCCAAGAGATGCTGGACTATTTGGAGCGACTCCAGTTTGAAGACGAGAGGGTGAGGAGGAGGAAGCAGCAGCAAGAACACCCTTCAGAGTTTGGACGGGGGGGGAGGGGAGAACATACACCTGGAATTGGGCCAATAGTTAGCTCTCTCCTTGGGCTTTCTCCAGGAAATGGAGCGCAAGCGGCTGGAACAGTTGAGGATCCAGGCAGAGATTAAGCGCATTAACGATGAGAATCAGAAACGGAAAGAGGAGATGATGGAGCATGAGAAGATGGCGGACAGGCGGGTGCTGGAGTACCAGCAGAAAAAGATGGTGAGTCATTTGGGCTGTTTGGAAAGAAAGGAATCTCCTCCAGGAAGGGTTCATAAAACGACCTGAAAACCCACCTTTAGAGTTCTAGTTACATGTCCCACCACCAGTAAATGGGGTGGTTAATTGACGTGCAATAAAACAAGACCCTCTTTGGTTAACTACACCAATTCAACCCTCACCAAAAGAGGTGAGACAAATTCTGTCCTTGATTATATGTATGTGTGTGTATGTTATACAATATAAAACAATTAAAAACTAAGCAGAAGAATGTTTTTGGATATTCTAACTCGGCTTCTTTTAAGGTGGAGGAACAATCCCTTCATGGCCTTATGCCTCTTCTATCAGCTATACCAAATGAACATCTCATGATAAGTATCCGCATGCCCAGAATCCCCTCCCAACTGTACGAGCCCAGCCTCTTCTCAGCCACGACTGCAAGCCTCCAGATGTTCTTGGACTTCAGCTCCCAGAAATCCTGGCCAGCAGAGTTGGTGATGAAAGCTTCTGGGAGTTGTAGTCCAAGAACATCTGGAGGGCCCAAGGTTGGGGACCACTGCTCTAGACCGTTCTTTACAGTATATAGTTACCCAAAGTACATTTGCTTTTAGGATCTTGTTATCACAGAGGACAGAACTGGCATCCTGTAACGACAGGTAGCATTTTTCCCCCACAGGCACTAACGATCTTTTCTCCGGTACAGGAACGAGAGGCTGAGTTTGAGGCAGAGCAGGAGAGGATCCGAAAGGAGAAGGAAATGGAGACCGCTCGCCTACGGGCACTGCAGGAGAAAGCCCGGGATCACCAAGCTGAGCAGGTATCGCTCAGCGCGGAGTTCTGTAAAGCAACACCAACCTGGCTTAAAGGGTCATGGGGCATCTCACTGGTAGCCCTATTCAGGCTTTCAAGGGTGTTCATCTCATGCCGCGTCTTCCAAACCAGCTTTTTCAAAGCAGGTCCCTAAACACAATTCTTATTTCAAGGACAGAACTCTGTTGCTAGGTGGGGAGCCCCACCAGAGAGTCATCTATCACGCTGTCGTAAATATGATTTGTTTAACCTTTCCCTTACAAATAGCTAAAACAGGATCTTAAGACACAGGAGATGAGAAAAATTGTCGTTCCAAATCCGCATTCTTCACAGCTCCTATTGCACAATCTGATGTGCCCATGAAGCCCACAGATGCTGAAAAAATATGTATCAAACCCTATACTTTATCTCTGGTTCCCTCTAGTAGGCAGTTCTGGTAAATAAACCCCGGAACGACATAAAAATATGTGTTTGCGGGATTTTTTTTAATTTAGTATATTCAGGCAGCGGATAAATGAGATCAGTGGATAAATGAATCAGTGGATACTGAATTTATCAGTGGATAAATGAATCAGTGGATACTGAACTCGCAGGGGGTCCTACTGTATTACACGACGGCTTCATCCCCACTATATGCTCATCCCTCAAGCCCTTCCTGTTTCCTTTTCTACCTTTCTAGGATGCTCTGAGGGCCAAGAGGAACCAGGAAGCGGCGGAGCGGGAATGGCGCCGGAAAGAGAAAGACGCGGCTCAGAAGAAAGCCCAGACGGAGGCCATGCTGAAGCAGAGCCGCTTGGAGCAGGTGGCCCAGAAAGAACACAGCTTGGCTGTCCAAGTCCAGCGGGACCGGGCCGAGTTCGAAAGAATTGTCAGGTGGGAAAACCAGCAGTGGTCCCTTGGGTGTTTGAAACCCCGGCGTGCTTTCACGGAGACGCAGTAAAGCCAGAATAAGCCCACCTTTTGTTTAATTTGTGGGACGTGGTGGCGCCGCAGGTTAAACCGCAGAAGGCAGAGTTGGGGAGGATTGGGCTGAAAGAGGAGGGTATCTGACTTTTTAAAGTCCTCTGCGAGCCCTTTTTTGTAGAGTCAGTAGGAGTCTTGTGTGGTCCCCATCCTTGGGCCTCCAGGTGTTCTTGGACTATAACTCCCAGAAGCCTTCCCCACCACTTCTGCTGGCCAGGATTTCTGGGAGTTGAAGTCCAAGAACATCTGGAGGCCCCAAGGTTGGGGATCACTGTTGTAGATCATCTATCTTAGACCTCCCCTCACCAGATGGATTTCAAGCGAATCCCTATGATTGATCCATGCGTGCATCGCCTCCTGTGGCCTCTCCGCCCACAGGATTCAGCGGGAGCAGATAGAGAAGGAGCGGAAGGAGCTGGAGCGGCGCATGGCTCTCCAGCGGACCCACGCCGACGAGATCCGGCGCCAGGTGCGGGAGCAGCAGCAGAAGCAGATCCTGGAGCGCACGGCCATCTTCGAGGAGAGCAAGCGGCTCAAGGAGGAGGCGCGGCGACACAGCGAGCGGCTGAACGAGATCACGCGGAAGAAGCTGGACGAACTCCGGTGAGGCTGCTCAGGGGGTGGTGGTGGTCTCTGCCCTTGAACCGTCACCCCCGGTGGGCCACACACATCCACGGTTGATTTGGCTCCATTTTTGGCAAACTCTTTCCTTCCCCTGGAATGGAATGATAAAGTTGCAGGTTTGACGGGGATCTCGAGGGGCCGTTGATCCCATCCCTGCCGATACAGATATGCACAGCTCGGAGATCCCTTGATGGGCGGCCATCAAAATTTCCAGGGAAGGAGATCCCAAGATGCTATTTGCACAAAGTCATGTGTGTGTGTGTCTGCCTTCCTCCTCCCGTCACGCTTCCCCTGGAATGGAATGATAAAGTTGCAGGTTTGACGGGGATCTCGAGGGGCCGTTGATCCCATCCCTGCCGATACAGATATGCACAGCTCGGAGATCCCTTGATGGGCGGCCATCAAAATTTCCAGGGAAGGAGATCCCAAGATGCTATTTGCACAAAGTCATGTGTGTGTGTGTCTGCCTTCCTCCTCCCGTCACGGCACGTAGATCCCCCTTCTTGGGCTATAGATCTGATCCGATCCAGGTGGCGTTCACTGGCCTTCTGGCATGGCTTGCCCAGATTCTGGGCACTCCCTCTACTCCAGGTTGTGCCATTCCAGCTGGGCAACTAAGCTAGATGGTTTTTTTTCCCCATGCCCAGAGGGCAGGTAATGAGTGGTCTGGTTTATTGAAAACAAGATAAGCCCCCTTCCCTTCAGAAACCCTGGGCTTTTGGCTGATGATCTGGAAAGGCCGGGAAGGTTCCTCGTTAGAGAGCTGACCCGTTTTGGAAGTAGAAAATGTGAGACAGTAGTGTAACCGTTCCTTCCTTTCTTTCCCTGTTTCCTATTTTTTTGCACCTTCAGAGCTAGTTGCCATTCATGTCTAGTTCTCGTTTTCATTTTGCCTCCTCTCCCTTGGTGGGGGTGGGCTCCATTTTTAAAGAATGGAGCGGACACCCTGTAGCCCAACCTCTCCTTCATTGGGAGCCACTGATTACAGCCCGCTCTGACTTCCATTCCAAGGAAAATGGGGAATAACTTGGAGCAGATAAATCTGAGAACTCCAGAGCTGAAAGGGACTCTGTGGATCATTTGAGTCCAGTCCCTATTCAAGGAGGCACAGTGGGGGGATTCGAATTCCCAGCCTCTGGCTCTGCAGCCAGAGGCCTCAGCCACCGAGCACTTAATTGAACAGAGGGAGTGTCTGCATTTTGTATTTTTCGAAGAGGCAGCATTAGTCCGTGCAAGCGTCTCGGGCAAAATCCAAAGAAACCAAACCAAAATAAAACAAAAATATGTGGCACCTTGAAGACTATTATATTTTAATGTGAGGTTTTGTGGACAAGTCCACTTCATCGGACATGCAGTGGTGCCTCGCTTTACGATTGCCCCACATTACAACGAAACTGCATTGCGACGATCTTTTTTGCGATCGCAATTGCGATCACAAAACGATGGTCTGAATGGGGTTTTTTTTGCTTTGCGATGATCGGTTCCCTGCTTTGGGATTTTCCTCCAGCTGATTGGTGGTTTCAAAATGGCTACCGGGTAAATAAAATGGCTCCCCGCTGTTTTCTGGGACTGATTCCTCTCTGCACAGGCACCGAAAGTGGCCGTCCTATGGAGGATCTTCGCTGGACGGTGGGTTTCCAGCCCATTGGAACGCATTGAAGGGGTTTCAATATGTTTCAATGGACTTTTTATTTTTGCATTACGACATTTTCGTTCTGCAGCAATTTCGCTAGAACGAATTAACGTTGTAATGCGAGGCACCACTGTAGTTCCCAATTCCCCAGATGTTTTTGGACTGCAGCTCTCAGAAACCCTGGCCAGCAGAGTTAGTGTTAAAGGCCTCCGGGAGTTTTAGTCTAAGAATACCCGGGGACCCAAGGTTGGGAACCACTGTCCTCTGCAAAGCCTAGAAGCAGGATGTGAGCACAGCTGTATTGGTGATGTAAATCTGTGTCTATCTCATTTGTGTGTCAGAGAAAGAAAAAGTTAAAATAATTTCTCTTTGCCTGCAAGTGGGTAAGATATGTTCTGTCTTGTTTCCACAAGAGTTTGCACTTTGTAGAGAATGTTTGTGTGAGTGTGTATGCGAATACAGATAATGTGCCTAAAATAAAACAGTTGCATTCAACTAGGAGAACCGTGGTTTTGTTTTCTGGATTTCTAAGAATTAAAGGCACTGGGAACTTCCGGCAACCCGAGATTGGAAACCACTGCCGTAAAAGAAGAAATCCGCCTCTCGAGTCCTGCTCACCCTGCAGCTCATGTCATGGAAGGGAGTTCTCGATCGTATTTTATCTCTGGGTGGGAATTTAAAAGCAGAAAAGCCGCGGAAGAACGTCCAGCCGCGTGATCTCCATCGCCACCCACTCCCAGGGTCGAGGGGTTACGACGTGGACTTAAAGGTTCCGTCTCTGTACAGCTGGGCCACCAGGGAGCATGCTCATTCCATCCAACCGTGTCCTTTTCGTCCCACCTTATTTGCAGAGCGGCTGGCCTCCCGGAGAAGTACTGTACCCAAGTGGAGCGCAAAGCGTATGGCCAGTCGGCCCCTCTGCGCAGCTGAATGGAGGAGCGTCTTCCCCACGCAGACACGTCCTGTTGCCCAGATCCTCTATTTTCTTATTTTTCTGAGAGTGTTTTATGAATAAATCTATTTCTGGATATTTCACGTGGACGTTCTTTCTCCTGAATGGCTGATGGTCGGATTCCAAAAGATCTCCTCTATGGAGAATTAGTGCAGGGGGAGACCACAGCTGCGATACAAGGAGATCTGCAAACGGGATCTGAAGGCCTTAGGAATTGACCGCAACAGATGGGAAACTTTGATGTCTGAGCGTTCAGCCTGGAGGCAGGCGGTGCATCACGGCCTCTCCCAATTTGAAGAGACCCTTGTCCAGCAGGCCGAGGCAGAGAGGCAGACCCGAAACAAGCAAAACCAGGGAGCTGGACAGGGGACAGATTGTGTTTGTCTTCAGTGTGGAAGGGATGGTCGCTCTCGAATTGGCCTTCTCAGCCACATGAGACGCTGTTCCAAGTCCTCCATACAGAACACGTTACCATCGTCTCTCCAGACTGAAGGATGCCTAATCTAACTTACAGCAAAAGAGATAAGCATGGGGGCATTTTCTCTATCCCACCCTGTCTCTATACCTCCAGCCAGTCATTCCTTAGCCATAAAAATGCTTCTAAAGCCTATGACATGCCTGATGTATGGACAATGATCTTTAAAGGGGAAATTGCAGGGGGAGGGAGCCCTTAGTCATTTTTGGAGCTATTTTCTTAAAAGACAAGAGAGTTCCTGGAAGATCCTTGCTGGAAAACCATGGGGCAACATGTGGCCTCTAGAGGGCGCTTCCCCAACCCTTATTTTACACCCTTCATGTGTGATTTTTCTGTATACAGAGGTGCCTCGCTTGACGATGTTAATTCGTTCCAGTGAAATCGCTGTGTCGATTTTGTCACGCGAAATTTGTCAAGCGAAATTTAAAAAGCCCATTGAAACGCATTGAAAACCGTTCAATGCATTCCAATAGGCTGAATACCTGCTCGTCTAGCGAAGATCCTCCATACGGTAGCCATTTTGGGTGCCTGTAAAGTGAGGAATCCGCCCTAGAAAACAGCGGGGGGGCATTTTGAGCAGCCGGCAGCCATTTTGAAAACCCTACGATCAGCTGTTTTGATCGTCGTAATGCGAAGAATCAGTTCCCGAAGCAGGGAACTGATCATGGCAAAGTGAAAAAAACCCATTAAAACATCGTTTTGCAATCGCAAAGAACATCATCGTGAAGCAGAGTCGTCGTTATACAGGGGAATCGTTAAGCAGGGCATGACTGTACAGTACATTAAATGGTCAGCAAGCCTACAGACTGCACAGGGATTCAAAATGAGAGTTGTAGGCGGCTTGTGTAGTTGGAAGTGGGGGTCATGCCTTTGGAGAGCATTAGCTCCAAGGAGTTTGGATTCCAAGATCTGGACTTCCCAAAGAGGAAAGGATCTGTTTTCCAAAGGAGCAGAAGGGCTGTGGCTCATGGGTAGTGTAGTGCGGCTTGGTATGCCAGAGATTTCTGTGTCCAATCCCTGTTCATTTGCAGGGAAGGCTGGAAAAATCTTATCCCTGAAACTCTAGAGACCTGTCGCCTGTCAATGGAGACTGCTCTGAGCTCCCCTCCAACCTGCGTCTGCCCGTCCCCACGTTTCTCCGAGTCCCTCTTGATTCTGAAAGCTGATGTGATGTGCTATTTCTGGAAACTTTCAGGAACAGTGATCCGCCTTATTGAATAGGTCACAAGGACCCTGGGACACAGAAAAAAAAATTCTAGAAATTCAGATGTCCAGGTTGGAGGTGGTGGCCTTCAATTACTTCCCGTTTTTTGTGGGGGGGTTTGTTGTATTTTTTTTTCTGGGCTGTTTTGCACTCCAGTGGTTTGGAAGATCTCAGCAGAAAACTTGGCCTCCCTGACCCGAAAGGACGAAGGATCTGATTTTAGTCAGGGTCGCTTCCTATATTCAAGTTGGCCCAGCGTCTGTGACCGATAGATAGGCAATCAGAACTAGCAGAAAGTGAAGTTAATCCTATTCTCATGCCAGAAATAGCTTTTTCCTAAAGCAAGGAGCATGACGGAAGGCAGTGTGTAGGATCGGGTAGATATAGGAGTTATCTGATGAAATTCTGCATAGGAGGAAGCAAAGTGCAAACTACACGTAGCTCCTTCAAGCCTTTCCAGTCCTCCAAACCCTGGCAGAGAGGTCCCTCCCGGTTTTGCTTCCCACACACACCCCGTGATGCTTCAGGGGGCCCAATTTGCAGGCCAGGCCTCCTTCATCCTTCAGGCCAGTCACTTCCTGTTTCTTTTTAGGTCAAAAAATGGCTTGGAGGTGGTGAGATTGTTGTTGTTTAGTCGTTAAGTCGTGTCCGACTCTTCGTAACCCCATGGACCAGAGCACGCCAGGCCCTCCTGTCTTCCACGGCCTCCCGGAGTTGGGTCAAAGCCATGTTGGTCGCTTCGATGACACTGTCCAACCATCTCATCATCCTCTGTCATCCCACTCTCCTCTTGCCTTCACACTTTCTCAACATCAGGGTCTTTTCCAGGGAGTCCTCTCTTCTCATGAGATGGCCAAAGTACTGGAGCCTCAGCTTCAGGATCTGTCCTTCCAGGGAGCACTCAGGGTTGATTTCCTTCTACCTTGAGTAGACCATCTTGACAGCTTCCATCGATGTGGTCAACATTGAGGCTACCCTTTGCTATGGAAAGCTTGGCATCCTTTTTCCCACTGGCAATTTGGGCATGGCGTTGAGCAGCCATGTTGGGCCATTTTCTGGTTTTTTAAATCATGGGTATCGCAATATCCCTCATTTGTAAACCAGAGGGTGTTTTTTTGGAAGAATCGAATGCAGTGGTGCCTTGCTTGATGACATTAATTCGTTCCAGCGAAATCGCTGTAGAGTGAAAACATCGTAAAGCGAAATAAAAAAGTCAATTGAAACGCATTGAAAACCGTTCAATGCGTTCCAATGGGCTGAATAATTCACCTTCCAGCGAAGATCGTCCATAGGGGCAGCCATTTTCGCTGCCTGTAAAGCGAGGAATCCGTCCAAAAACACAGCGGGGAGCCATTTTGAGCAGTCGGCGGCCATCTTGAAAACCCGTCGATCAGCTGTTTTGATCATCGTAATTCGAAGAATTGGTTCCCGAAGCAGGGAACCGATCATCGCAAAGCGAAAAAAACCCATTAAAACATCGTCATGAAGTGGATTCGTTGTTATACAGGGTAATCGTTAAGCGGGTCATGACTGTATTCCTATATACGAGCTACAACTCCTTGCTAAGGTGTCGAAAAGGTTAAGTGGGATTACTTTGGCTCGTGTCTAAGACACCGAGAAAGTAAGGTGTCTTGTTTTAAAAGAGTTGTGGTTTTCAGGAACGGGATCCAGCCCAATGATCAAAGAAGGGAGATGCAAGAAGGGAAAAAAAGAACACAAGCACCAATTAAAAGCGCCGTCACCACTAACGAAGAAGCCACACCTGTATGAGAGACCGACTGAACATGACTGAGGAGAAGGATGGGGTGGAAGGAGGAAATGTTTTAATGAGGCATGATTGATTCTTTACATCGCCTTACTTGAAAAATTGGTTTAGCTCATGCTGAGGAAGGCCTCGCCTGCTTTGAGAAGGGAACTAATTGCCATTAATTAATGACAATTAGTTAATGACAATTACCTCAGTATCAGAGGTGGATGTGTTAAGACTCAAATGTCTTGTACTGGAAGGGCAGCTTTTGATGTCATGTTCCTTTCTACTTATTTATTACATTATTGGCTTGGTGTAGTAGGTCACCGTAGAGTAGAGTAGATCCACTGAGTCAGTGAGGATTTGATGAAGCAATTTTCCTCTGTAAGCTCCATTGATTCAAATCCGTTTTCTCTGGTGGTGAAATCCTACAAGCTGCAAAATCCTGGGGATGTCGTCAGACGACAGGAAGGGCAAACCACTTCTGTCTAGAAAATCCTAGAAAGTACTGCCATAAGTCAGAATTGCCTTGATGGCACATAATTATTATTAGCTCGAAATACAGTGGTGCCTCGCTTAACGACGATAATCCGTTCCGGGAAAATAGCTGTTGAGCGAAAACATCATAAAGCGAAATTTAAAAACCCACTGAAACACATTGAAAACCATTCAATGCGTTCCAATGGGCTAAAAACTCACCGTCCAATGAAGATCCTCTATACGGCGGCCATTTTCGGTGCCTGTATAGCAAGGAATCCATCCCTAAGCACAGCAGGGAGCCATTTTAAGTAACCGGTGGCCATTTTGAAAACCCAACAATCTGCTGTTTTTGATTGTTGTAAAGCGGATTCGTCGTAATGCAGGGTAATCATTAAGCGGAGCATGACTGCTGCATTGGTAACATTGCCGTGGGCTGTCACATCCCTTGATTTTTGGTGACACTAATGGGGTTTTCATGGGGACACACACGGGTGGCGATGTGGGTTCAGCCGCTAAGCCAACTGGGCTGTCGATCGAAAGGTCGGCAGTTCGAATCTGCGTGCCAAGGTGCACTCCCGTCGCTTGTCCCAGCTCCTGCCAACCTAGCAATTTGAAAGCATGCCAATGCTCATTGATGGAGAAGTCCCACCTCAGTGGGACGGTCATGGCGTTCCGTGTCTAGTCACACTGGCCACGTGACCACGGAAACTGTCTTTGGACAAACGCTGGCTTTACGGCTTGGAGATGGGGATGAGCGCCAGACCCTAGAGTTGGACACGACTGGACTTAATTGTCAAGGGGGACCTTTACCTTTACCTAATGGGGTTTTCAAGGTGTGCGAGATGCTTTGGGAGTCGGTTAACCACTACAGTGGTGCCTTGCTTAACGATTACCTCGTTAAACGATGAAACCGCTTGACGATGAGGTTTTTGCGATCGCTTTTGCATCTCTTCTTGAACGTATTCTCTTCGTTTTATCCTGATCATATAATCTCTCTCTCTCTTTCTCGATTCTTGCAGTATCCCTAATCTTAGTTTAAATTCCCTTTTGATTTATTTCGGCGTTATGGAAGAAATCTCTTCTTTCCCCCTTTTCATCATTCTTTTGTATTTCTTCGTAGTAATTTTATACTAGTTCTTCTTGTTCATATGTTTTGGATT